CCCATTCCTCGGTGAAAGGTTTCCCAGCTAAAGACAACCGCGTCTCCGATATTTTGGTAGGTTGCTGTGTATATATTTGAAATCTCAAAATCAATGCAGGGTGTCCCAGCTTTCTCCGCCTTGACCACTTCCTCGCATGAATGTGCGTCAGTCAGAAACCCAGTCCCACCCATACCTTTGTGGTGTGTCAATGCAACTAGCACCACAATATCGCCCGTCTCTCGCAGGTCAGTGTGCCATTGTTGTATTGATCCCGTGTGGGGTTCGACGTAGATAATGCTTTTATTTATCATGACCACATCTTGGCACATACCTATGTTTTGTGCAAGCTGTTGCACCGTTTTGTACCACGGTGCTTTTTCTTCACAACCAACAACACCTTGCAAACCGCTTCCCCACCACCAGGAGCCATGTGGTGAAAGTTCAAATCGATTTCCGGATGCAGACCATATTTGTTGGGTGTATTCGCCATTTTTGATTCGATTCCAATAGCCATTCCTTGTGGCCTCGTCTCTTATCATGTTGAAGTATAACGCGCATTTGGGAGCTGCAGTTTCCAAAGTTCTTGCTGTGTCCGCATCCACACCAGTCAGATGAAATGCCTCTCCACATTCAACTTCTATTCGATCCGAATTTCGATATTCACGTCTGCAAAAGATGGTGGATTGTGGAGCCTCGTTTGTTGCGACTTCCGGAAACGCTTCCTCGCTGCAGTTACGCCTCTCACAGGTGTGATCAGGTATTTCTGATGTCACTTCCTCCCTGTATCTGCTTTCCCCAAGCGGCACCAACCGTTTTCGAAATTCGCATTGATGGCATTTTGCCTGCCATATCCTTTCTTTTGCATCACGTCTTACTTTGCCACCACCAATGTTTTTGCTGAAACCACACTTTGCAAGAAAGAGCTCCTCTCGCCCGATGACAATGTGTCCGGTAGGTTGCCAGTTGTGCACCGCTCGTCGTTTTTTCTCTGGTTGGAGCTCCACCATGCTGGTCTCCGGCAGTCGTCCTTTACGACTTCTTCTTGTTTGCTGGTGATCGGAGTTTGCAACACGGATGATCGATGGTGCCACAATCTGTTGAATTGGAAATGCCCCGACGTGACTAGTACTGTGATAAGGCGCCCGATGATTCTGGCGGTGAATCATCTGTTGCTGCTGCAGATGCTGGTTGTGGTTTTGGTTTTGGTGCGGGAATGGAAATGGTTGATGGTTGTGTGTTGCCATAGGTGGCATAGGATACACATTCCAGCGGTACAAATTTGGATTGTATCCAGGAGGGTTGTAGTATGAACTCATTCTGATAGCCGTACAGTAAGGATACTACCGTATATTCCTAATGTCGAAGTTTGATCATTTCTTTTATTATATTCGGATTGTACTCACGATTTATGTTCAAGCGTGCAAGATACTGCGGATTTAATAACAACATTCATTACATATATATGTCGGGCATTACCGGCCCTAGGAGTGATTGGCAGATTTGTCGTTGGCAGAGTCTATTTTATTTTATTTGAATAGGTCGGGCATTACCCAATTACCAGTGTATTGCGCATGTCGGCCAAGGCAAGTTCAATGGGTCTTATATAATATATTCATTATATATATGTCGGGCATTACCGGACCTGGAAGTGATCGGCGCCAGGCGTCTTTTTATTTAAGTTATAGGTGGGGCATTACCAGCATTGTGCGCGTGTCTCCTTGAAGCGCAAGTATGTGACGGTTACGCTACGTATTATTTTATACACCATGCCCTGCAGGTGTTCGGTGCAGGTACTGCAGGAAACGACGAAACGTGTGAAGCCAAGGACCGCGATGGGAAGTCTCGGATGTCAAGTGATAGATAGCCACTCGATTACCTCTTTGACGACAGAAACAATTTCGAGGGTAACGACGATAACTGCTCTACACACAAACGAAACTTTGGAAGGCACAAAACTATTGGAACGAACAGGAGTAAAACACTACCTACGTTTGCCTTCGCCGCATGGCAGCGATATTGACAAGTGGACGAGTTGTGGACAATAGAAAGAAAACTGTGGGTCATGAGAAAGGACAGAAAAGACAGTTGGAGAAAAAGGAAGGTACATGTACATGTAGAAACACTTGTGGGCGGCGAGCATTTGTTTTCTTGTCTGCTGCTGCGATCGTCAGTTTTGATGACTGGGCGGGGGATCGCTGGAGTACAGTTCATACAGCAGAAACAAATATTACTCGAGACTTTTCATTCATGTAGTACAGATTGTCAATGAAAATTGTTTCTGATTGACCTTGGGTGCATGTTGCAGGAAGGACACAAATAGTTAGATTTGGTCAAATTTACCACAAACAAATTTGAGTCAGTGTAACTCACCATTGTTGTGGATTGTCAATTGTGATCGTCGCTGATTGACATTAGATGAAAGTTGGATGCAGGACTCGAATAGTTAGACTTCGGTGACGAAAGTAGATGATTGGCGTCAAGAAACTCAACATGTGCCGATTTGGCTGATTTATGTTTTTCGATTAATGATGATGTGCCGATTTGGCTGATTTATGTTATTCGATTAATGATGGACATTTTTTCGATTATTGTTGGACGTTGGATTTGCGCATCGATGAACGCTTCAAAAATAGGGTGAAAGGATAAGATGGAAAGATAAAGATGTTAGCTTCGAAAGGTAGGTATCGATAAAGGGGTGGGTGGATGAAGCATCGAAAGACTAACCATTTCTCTGGATCGCAACTGTTTGACCATCAGGAACTCGAAGGGATGCTATTCCTTGGGCAGCCCACATATCTTCTCTTTCCAGTTCAGCGATCAACCATCATGACAGACATCCACAGTGCTACGTGTGATACAAGAGACTGTTCTTTGCGTAAAAATAAACCGTACCCTAGACTGCCGAAGCAGGCTGTACAGTGAACTCAAGCAATATCGAGCTGACCTTTGCGTAGTGCGAATGTCATGGTGATGGGATCTGCGATGAACAAGAAGAGGAGCATGCGTTGAATGAAGCAACATTATTGTGCTGCAAATGAAAAAGTCGCTTTTTGTTGTCTGTGGCACGCGCGCCGTGTTGAAAATTATCCCGTACTGCAGTCTGTAGAAAGTTGTACTGTCATTGGAATAATGCAGGAGGGTGCGGGCTTTTTGTCGGTTGTAAATGTGGATATATGGGCGACAGAGCATGTCAGTCGTGTGGAGTGCGCAACCGTCTGTGCGCCTTAATTACAGTAAATTCAGTGAGTGATCCATATTGTTTTTAGCAGTGCCGGAATTGAATAACAAAAGTGATCTTTGGGTAAAATGATGATCGAGTATCAGTACCATAGGTATCGAAATACTTCTTGACAGCAAGATACCCTACTATGTTCTCGGCTGGAGAGACGTCAATGACAAGCTGGCAATGGAATATCTATTGACGAACTGGACTGAAAGGAACAAGTTCTTGTTGCAAATGGCCCTCTACAACTGGATGCTGTCTAGATTGGATCGCTGGGGATCGAAATCCTGAAGAACACGAATGATTCCCCTGACTATCTTTGCCGAGGCATGCTCCGTTTTGAAACAGTGCGAAAAAGTGGAATCCACGTTGCTATTGGAAATGGCTTTGTGGAAAGGTCAACTCGAGCATGGATTGGGCGTCGTGATTCCAAGTGTCTTGATTTTCTTCGGAAGTAACAATCGTTGAGTCTGACTCTAGGGTCTGGGGCAACGTTTTCGGTAACAGTATGAAAGTAGTATAATAGAATAGAATACGTATTTATGAACAATAGCCAAAACTTTTATTGATTTGTTTGTTCCATACTTTTGGTTGGATCAATCCATTAGAAAATTTTCTTTCTTTTTTCTATTGGACACTATGACGAAAAGCTAGAGTCGATATTAATAATCGCTTGCAAGTTGTTACCTCTACCGAAGCATTTATTGTCTTGCTATCATCCATTCGTCACATTACAGTACATCACATTACATATCACTTTTCAATATCATGAATTGGGATTGCTATTCTATTCGCACCCCCCCCCCATCCATCCTCGTCGATTCCGATTGATTCATACTTCCACTTGATCGCATCGATGGCGATTGATTGTCGTATCACTTTTCATTATCGTGGATTGGGATTGCTATTGGATCCTATTGGATTCGCCATCATCGTCGCATAACCCTTTTACTCGATCACGTCAATCGATTTTATATTCATGCACCCATGCATCCATTCGTCCATTCATGACTTTAGCTTGGGTGACATCTTCAAGATTCTACCGCAATAGACAAGACTGATGAAGACTTATTTTGTCGCCTTTGTGACTTCTTATATTAGCGTTGCCTCGTGTTCCCATTCTTTTTTGTCATGATTGTCAGTATATTTACCACAACACGATTGCAGCAAGCGCAATATATTAAAAATCTTCATCATGGCGATGGTTGTCGCAGTTGCGATCTTCATCACGACGGCAGCGTTGAGGTGGCAAGAATCTTCATTACGGTGGTATATAGCTTCCGCGAGAACTGGATCGATGACGACTAATAGAACGAGAACGGTCACAAGAATAGACATCGCGGTAGTAACGGTCCAACGTCTTTGTTCTTCTTTGATAGGAGCCGCATTTGCTTTGGAATAGATTCGATTGAATAGCAATCGTTATCGCTCTGCGAGCAGTATCACTGATCGTAGCAGAGTATTGGGACAGGACTTGGTCCTTCTGCTGACTTCTAGGCTGTTTGCGCATGTCGAAGTGTTGTTCAAAGTGTAATCTGTAAGCTAGTGTGCTTTACACTGCTGGAAATAAGTATTCGGCAACACTATGATGATTGCAATGGTGTCATGGGTGCTACCGTATATATTTGAAGTTTATATTCATCTATCTTTTTTTTCTTCAAAAAAATCTCACCAAATTTTGATGCGCGCATTTTCTGTGCGCAAGCCTCTGTCTATTATGCGCACATTGCATGCATACATCCATCAAAACGTCGCATCCAATACATATTTATTGTTTGGCCATCAGCGATATACGATGGATACTGGTATCGTCTTGGAAAAATCGAAAAAAGAGAGGACGAAGAGCTTTTGTACATTTTGTGGCATTCACAGCGCTGTGAATGTTCTCAAGGCAAAGGAAAAGCGAAAGCCAACTGTCAAAAGTAGCTTCCTTTTTTCGTCCGAGACTTGCTGCCGTGGAAACTTCAGTTGCGATAGAGTGAGTTCATTTGTTGGGCCAAAAGCGTAGAGCAGTTGGAGTGAGCTGACAACTTTGCCTATCTTTTATCTATTGATGCGTATAGCTATGTGCCGAGCGGATTCAGGTTGGTCTGAAAACGGCCATGCCCAAGGAAGCCTACAATGCCTGCCTCAAACATAAAAACAACTATGTTGCAGTCCTTGATGCATTTGCAAACCAAGAGGATCCCAAAGCCTCTTGTGACTTTCCCAGAGGCGTGTGCTGCCCTTCCTGCTCCATACTAGACGTCGGCTCTACCGCAGCTGCGGTTGACGAAGCACCAACGACGACGGCTAATGGCAAAGAGAAACGCAAGAAGAAGAAACGCAAGAGACGCAAGGCTCACGATGGTGGTAATGTATTTGACCAAATCTATAAAATGGAACAGAGAACTACCACCGACTCGACAAAAAAGAATGCCTTCAGCAATTCAAGTGTGAACCAAGAGACAAATAATGCGCTCCGTGAGCAACTATTGAAGGAGGTGCAAACGGCCAACAGCAATCAACCAACGACTCTTGCTGGCATGGTCTACCTCCATCACTACCACATCCTAATATCGTCATGTGTGATGCTGGAAGTCTTGCATGCCATGGGAGACCAAAAGTTCTTTTCCGAAGCAGGTTGCTTGCATAGCGTTGTTCCCCATGATGTGAGCGTCACTGTAGATGATGTGATGAATCATGGTGAGAAGAAGGCAAGGGTCCTGCAGAACCAAACAACAGTCCATTGTCTTGATCTCGAAGCTATTGACGGTGAACGTTTCAAAGGGCTTCAAGAAGCCAACCTACAAGTTGAATGGACTTTGTATGAAAGGGACGACTCGTCTATTTGCGAGGTTGACAAGGGCAGTCATCCAACCAAAGAAGAGTTATTGACTGCAACCATATTTTCGCCTGTTCCCCAATCCAAGGACACAAACGTGGTGTCCTGTCTACTCCAACCCAAGAACAAGAAAGCAGATGCCCACGTGGGCGCCATGATTCTTGTGAATATGTGCGGCAAGCCCATCCTGGAAGGTGTGGAAGTCTGCCAAGATTATTTGTTCAACAATCTTCTCCCTCTTGCTGGAGATCACGGGCTTGAGCACAACCGAAAAGGCGGTTCTTCTGGCAAAATAAAACTAGATTCGCAGCCTACAATCTGCCTGCTCAAAAGACCAGGAAAGTTTCCTGTGAGGCGAAGAGCCATGATACTGATTGCTCTAAATACGCCCAAAGTTACTGGATTACTTGGCCTGTATATGAAGGCCGGTGAAGCAGGGAGAATAGTGGCTTCGTGGATCTATCCAACCCCACAATATGGTGGTAGTCTTTCACTTTCCAGCGGTGCCGCTTTGGAAGTTTTGAATAAATCCAAGGTCCTTCAAAGACTTCCAGCGTGTCGAGTCATTGCTGCCATGATCTGCCATGACTACAACAACAACCAAGCCAATCAGATCGGAACCGTCATCCGTGAGGCCGCAAGAAAGCTTCTGGATGAATGGCAACACTGTGTTTTCATGAGCCAGATTGGTGGCGCCAGAGCGACGAACCATCACAAGAGACGCCACAACAGAAATCGGAGGCCTCTGATCCACATGGCCACCCATGCATTTCACACTTTGGTAGCCCATCCAGTTGGTGCGCATCGAGATGTGTTTGCCAACAATGGAACTGACTGCATTGAGAACAAGCTTATCTTGGTCAGCTCTGACTGGAGCCCAAGGAAGGGAAACCATCTTGTCAGTCGTGGCCGAGGTGGGTTACCAAGCTTCTTCACCTTTGCAATCCTAGATTGGGATGGCCCATCCGTCCGCCGCCGCCGCCGTTATGAGGCACTTGGTGGCCGGGAGGATAGAATCACACACCGCAACCCTGATACCTTCGGAGAGCTCATAACTACCCATCTGACTGAGCTTCAGCAAATGTGGTGGAACAGTATGAATGAGAATCAGCAAGAAGCCTACGTCGAAGGGCTGGCTATCCCTGGGATGGTACCACCACCATTGGGTAACGTGGAAGTCCCAGCTCCAGGTGGACCAGAGGGTTTCAATAATTGGCTGCATGGGATCCAACAAGCTGATTGATAGTATGCATGGCAACGTAGTGAAAGACTTAAATGTAAATGTGAAATGATGTTACAGAATTTTAAACCACTATGCCACTATTAGTGTTGCTGCTATCCTCGTCTTCGTCAGCAGCATCTTTGCCGACCTTGTGTTCATCAGTATTGTCTTCGTCATCATCGTCTTTCGCATTCTTGTCTTCATCAGCATCATCTCCATCAGCGTTGTCTTCGTCGTCATCATCATCATCCTTGCCATCATTGTTGCGGGTCATGGTATATCTTCCATTGCACCACCTAACGTTGCCTATTAGCTTTGTTGCCGTTCGCTTGTACAGTTTCAGATACATTTTGCTGAACCAGTCCTGCTCTGCATTTGGTTTCATTGCCTCCTCGAACCGCTCCGATGGGAACTGATCTTCTTCAATGCCATTGATATGCAAGTGGTCTTGTTTTTCATGATACTTCAGAGCGTCTCTTTCTGTGACTACTATATGCAATCGCCTATTGATGTTTTTGCTTCCAGGCTTGGAATAGACTCCAGCATGAATGAGGTTCACTGGAATAGCCAGTGCACAACCAAATGGCACAAAGATGAACTCACTTTGCTTTTCTCCCTTTCGCATTATTCTCAGCAACATGCCATCAGTGCTGAGGGGTACATGCAGATGGAAAGTACGCCCTTTTTCAGGATGGGGCCTATCATAGTGGAGCCGTTGGTGGTATGCCTTGTTGGTCTCCACAATGCCCGGATGCACCAGAAAATTCCGAATGAGATCATGCAGTGTATCATTCTCATGGCCCGGATAAATGAGCCGGGCTGCATTCAAGGCAAACTCTTCCATCTCTGCCATCACATATTGCTCGAGCAGTGTTTTACCAGCATACGTCCAATCGCCCGGAGGGGTTTCATCAAGAGTATAATGCCCGATGCTGCCAATTTTCCCCCAGCTGAACATGGAATAAGAGCCAGCACCATGTGCCTTGTCTCCAAGGGGAAGTCCTTCATTTGCTGTGCGTTTTCTTTCATAGCCGAGTATTCTAATCGGCTTCCAAACCATGTTATGCTCCATGTCATGTTTTTCTAGATGGCTTACCACTCCTTTTAGAAGCTCTGGCCTCACTAGCAGAAAATTGAATGGATCTTTACCATTTGGTTGCTCGAAACTGTGCTGGTGAAAGCCCCCAGATGGGACAATCTGCGCCTGTATTGAATCCAGTCTTGGACCCTCCATCATATTTCGTTTCTTGTCGAACCAACTCTGCAAAAGAGACTGGAATGTGGCTAGACTTTCTTTTGTAAACAAGCCTCCACCGTACCAAAACCACAACACAGAAAGTATGCCTTGGAAGCAGGATGGTGGAGCTGTTGGGTCTGACGGCTGGGCATTTGGGTTGCTCCTTGCTGCTTTTGAAGTATTGGTCTCTCTTGTTGCATGCTGGCTCTCTTTGTCCTTCGTCTTCCCCTTTTTCCTATTTTCTCCCTTTTGTTGTCCTTCCTTCTCCTTTTGCTTCTTGCCTCTTTTGCCTCGCCTCCTTCTTGTCCTCCTTCCGTTGCCATTTTCTTCGTTTTCCCGTTTCTTCCCTCGTCCATTGATCTTGTCTGGTGGTGGTACGATTGTCTGTTGCTGCTGTAGTGAATTAAAAGGGAGGGTTGGCATGTTTCTGCTGCTCCTTCTCCGTGGCCCTATCATCTCTCCTCCTCTTTTGGGAGACTCGTTGCGACGGGTCACCTCTACTTCATCATCCTTCAATTGGAAGCAAGGAGCTTCGCCGTCCTTGACCTTTGAAACCCTGAATGATTTTGTGAGATCAAGGTCACGTTGCTTCAAAAGGAGGAATGGTGGGAGCGCTTGGGTCGCCTTCAAGAGCAGGTGGTCATCAGATGAGGTAGAACCAAGATTTTCAACCTTTAGCCTGGCTTGATGTAGTGTCTGTTGAGAAGCCCGTAACAGCTGAGTGAAAGGAGGTGGGACATGAATGGCACCATCCTCTTGTATTAGCTTTGCCAATTCAACAATAGTGTCTCCAAAATCCAGATTCGTCCAGTATTTTTCTGAATACTCCAAGTAGATTTCTTCAAATTTGTCAATCTCGTCGAAAGCTTCAAGAATCTCCATCGCTTTTGCCTTGGCTTCATGTGCAAGGCCCTCCATATGTAGGTGAGGGTGAAGTTTGTGGGACCTGCCCGACCCACACCCAATGGTAAATACATGCCCTTTTGATTGCTGTTGCATGAAACTCAATAGCGCCCAGTTGGTGACGGTTTGGTTATCTGTCCCATCAAGCACAGTTGCTTCTCCAATGGAATGTAGTGGAAGAGGAGGAAGTGCAAAAGTGACCATACCAACAATTAGAGTTGCTTTTGGTTTCTCATTTGCCAAGACAGCTCTTTTGAAACATTCCTTGATGCTTCCTATCTTTGTCGACTCAATGACCGATTCAGGTATTCCATACCGCCCAGTGTATTGAGCATTTGCAAAACTATGGTCAAAAACATCATGCCCACTCTCTAAACGTAGCGTCATCCGCTTGATCTGAGCAAACAGGTTGGATCTAAGCCCAGCACCGGTAGGTTGACTTGTGTTAATGGTTTGTAGGGGAGGTGATGCCTCGGTTTCTTGACTGTCATGGTAAATTGCCAATCCCCATTTTGTAATTACATCGAATAGAATGCCAAAAACCCTATGCCTAAGGATCGTACCCATAGTGGCTTCCCGTACATCGAATTTCAAGGCTTTGAAGTTGACAAATATCAATAGGGTTTCAACCAGCCATCCAGCAATTGCTCTCAGGTACGTATGGAGGTCCTGGAAAGTGACATGACATTTCTCGTCAGCTTGTCTTTGGAGAAGAACTGGGAACATCTCAGAACATTTCTCAGAGTTGAGAAATTGCATCAGTTCTTGATGTGGCTCACCATGTTCTTGGGATGGAAGTAGCAACCTTCCTTCAGAGAACAAAGTCATAAACTTTGACCAATTGCTTTTTTTACTTTCTTTGATACCGGCCTTCAAAACATCAAAAAGTGAGCGAGGCGTGTTTAAACCCCTTGATGTCATGGAATTGAAGCTTGTATGTGTTTCCACCGCGTTCCGTGCTGCCTCCCAAAACAACCCATCATCTTTCAACACTTTTTGCGCCATTGGACCTTTCCATTCAAGCCTTTTTTGATTATCTAAGATGTGCAGAAGAAAGTCTCGAAGCGTAAGAATCTCTGCTTTTGTTGCCCTCAGCTGCAGTTCCTCGCTCAATTTCTTCAGAAGTACTTCGTTATCTGCCAATACAATTTGCACATCAGCACGGTACCAGATGAGTGGATCGGGAAGATGTCCATGAATTGGGGCATGGCTAGAGCCTCTACCTACGGCTTTCCTACCTAGAAGGACGTGGCACAAGGTGAACAGCCGTCGGCGGCCTCCAATTGCTGCAAAGCAAGGTAGTCCCAAGTGAACCCATTGCACCTTTGCAATTAAAATGAGATCTTGAATGGAACATTGCTGTAGGCTTTTGGTAAGATCACCCATGACACTTTGGAGCTCCTGGGAACGATTCATTTTTAATAACCTGGCAACAAAGTCTTTAATTGCTTCTTTTGTTGTGAGACCCTTGAACTGCTTTGATATCAGTTGAAGAATGGTGGCAACATTTGTGGTGGTCACATCATCACCTTCTGTTAGGACCAGTTTTCTGTTAACAAGCGCAGCCATCAAATTGTAGGAACTAGCCGGGCACTGCATCCATCCAAAAGTGCCACAATTTCCTCCCCAAGGCATTGCCAATTGCTTTCCTTCTGCCACTTTGCTTGTCGCATGATATGGAACAAGAGAAAATGCGTGGTCTTCCCTGTTCTTCATTGAATCTTTGGTCAAATAAAGAGATAACATACTTTCTGGATCCTCCTCATTGAACTGCTTGGCTATCATATCTTCAGATATGGTTCGAATGTTCCATCTTGGCTGCGCCCCAATCTGAAATGAAACTCGGTTGTTTTTCTCTTGCACCAAAATCAATTGTTGTGATATGATAGCCAACAGGATGGAAGATATCTGGTCTGAGGAGGTTGCAACATAAATCTTGGAGCCTCCTGCTTTGCATTTAGCAACCGTAGGTTGGAATTTGCCGTCGCCTTTGAAAGTGGAGATATTGGTGGTGATGTGTTGGGTCTCCTTGTTGCAATCCAAATAACGGGCGATTGATTCTTGACCAGGCGTCTCACTGGCATCAATATTGAAACAATCTTGCCCATTTTCTTGCAACTCTAGCAGTTTGCCTAAAAGTTGTTGAGTGAATTCCTCTGTCATGGTTGCTTTCAAAAGTATTGTTGAGATGGATATATTATAATAGGTGTTTTTGTTTTGCGACTGTTGCGACTCCGCGTGACGGACAGGCGGACAGACCCGACAAAAAATGGACCTGCATGTCTGGGTTTTACGCATGACAATTCATTCAATGTTTATCTACAATAAAAACTTGTGTGAGACACATATGGAGACAAGGCATAAGAAGGAGTTTGAACTGAGGATATATCATCAATTTGGGTATAAATTGAATGTTCTTGAAGTACTGCACAGAGTGTGACTTTCAATTTCTTCTTCTGCTGCTTTGGTTTTTTCCGTTTTCTCTTCTTCTGTATTAGCCCTTCTTATGGATCTAGTATGATGTCTGATCCTTTCACGGAGATATTCAATGCGACCAACTAGTGTGCTTGATGCAATTCCATAACATGAGTAGATGAACAATGCAAGTCCATAGTCTTCTACCTCTTCTTGGATGTCCAAGAGCCGGCGCGACACAGCGTCCATTTCTGAAGCTGGTAGCCAGGCATCATAAAGTGAAACTGTATTCTTCACATCTCTTAGCGGCTTCAACTGCTTAATTGCACAATTAAAAAGGCCCCTGTCCAGCTTGTTATTAGAAAATTGTCTCAGTGTTGTGTAGAGTTCATCGTAGGTCCATGTTTTGTTCCGTTGCATCAAACCCTGTAACTGTGAAAGTTTAAAACCAATCTTTGTGTCTTTGGAATGATAATACTTCTTTGGTATCTCAGCAATGGATGTCTTTTTCACCCACAAGACTTTGGCAAATCCAATTTTCATGATGTCAGCAGCATGGCACTTCTCCTGGGCAGTAGTGTTCTTGCAAAGCCAAAATATTGCTGCCTGCAATAGAAAGATTTCCTCTCCTTTGTAAGGCACATAGGGAACAGAAAAATTGGGAATCGTACCCCCCACCTTGGATGTCAATGCTGCTTTCAGGGTATCAATTTCGTGGTCTAGGAGCTTAGAAAAAAAACGGGGCACAAAGGCATCAAGTTTGATGTCATCAACAGCTCTAGTTGCAGTGGCATTGGAAGCTTGATCAGCGATGGCGCATTGGAAGCCATATGTAGTGTTGTACATAATTCCATGCCAGTCCCAGGACGCCACTAGCTTTTTAGGCATTGTGTTCCAGAGAAAGATCGACTCGTCATCTTCAGCCTGATTTGCAACAGCAACTGAGAGGTAGTGTTGAAAGACTCGCCAGGTACCAAATGGATTCTGATTGTTGTAGTGCTGAAGTGTTTCTTGCGATGGGCTGCTCACCTTTCCAAACAGACCTTTGATAAAGTCCAAAATAAAAGGATACCCAGCAAGCTTCCATCCTTGGTGGGAATGAATGATAGTGTCACCCATTTGGACCAGCTTTTGCCCAGTAATTTCTTGGAAGATGAGTTCGGCAGTTGTTAGCAATGGTCCCTCCTTTCTCTGGTATGGAAGGCTGCTTAAACCAAGAGTTTCTGCCATTTCTGATTCCCATCGGCACAGTGCTGAAATCGAAGCAGCATCTCCCAGCTTCCTGGCTGCCTCAGCCCACAGTTTTTTGGTCAAAGTCTTTGGGTTAGGACCGGCTTGTTCTTCCAAAGTTTTCAAATCCTT